GTGTGTTTATGCGTGTGTGTGTATGCGTGTGTGTGTATGCGTGTGTGTGTAGGCGTGGGTTAGCAGCTGCGAGTCACAATGGGCGCACGTCAGCGCTCACCACAGTCAAACGCTAGCGCAGCGCCGTCTGAACTCCACGCCAGACACTCGGCACGCGCACAACCGCACACACACACACACACACACACACACACACACACACACACACACACACACACACACACACACACACACACACACACACACACACACACACACATACACACACACACACACACACACACACACACACACAGATTACTACCATGCCACCACAGTCTAACAGAAACACAAAAAGATGCCTATACACCCTCAAAAGCTTTATCATTTAATCATCATTTAAAATTGCAATTACATCATAAAGTACATTTTAATGCTAATAAAAATGCAGTACTCTAAATACTGTACTTTCTACCCGACCCACTGCCATTAATCTCCTTACTCCTAATATACAAAACACGAAGCCTTTATGTGCACTCGGCAACAAGTAAAATTAAAAAATAAAGTACAAAATAAAACATATACACAAAGAACAACATATACACATACACACACAAAGAACACACACACAAATTCTAAATACAAATAAACACCAAATTGCAAATGTATTATAAGTGTAACAAATGTATACTATCAGCAAAAATATACAGTTCCCCCCATACATATAAAAACTAATATGAACAGGTGTTTTGTAAGCCGTTTATATTTGATGACTAAGTAATTGTGCCGTGTCATTTCCGGTCAGTTGGAGGAAGGCTCCACGCAGCCGCTCAACCTGTCAGCCCGGCCCAAGACATCGCCGGCGTCGCCGACGGCGCAAACGCTGTTCTCCGGTAACAAGAGCAGCCCCACCAGGGCCACCAAGGCCCGCATCCCCAGTCCGGTCTCCGTCATGGGCCACAATGCATCCCTGGGTAAGGTGCACCCCGGAAAAGCCAGTTTCAGAAATTTGATTGACATGCCTACCGGGAGTAGGCCCATGAAAAAAGTCTGAAGAATTGTTAGCCGGAAAGACACAGGAAGTTTGTCATTTTGGTTTGAAACAACCAGTTTTGCCAAATGTTGGTCATTTCCAGGGTTTCTTCAAAGAAAAACTCCTCCAAGGGATTTTGTATGATTGCTACCAAATTTGACCGCATCCAAAAGACAAACTGGCAACGCTAAAATGCAAATCATTTTGGTTTTGGTCGTTGTGTGTGGGCAGAGCATGGCGGCCAAGTTTGATGAGTCACCGTTGGTCACTACGACTGCCGAGAATTTGTGGAAAATTCAGCACTCAAAGCAAGTTGCACTCACAATTTGGTCGACGTTGTCTATCATGAGGAGAGCCACCAAAACAGTCTTGAGAATCCATACCTGTAATAACACAGGAAGTCAGTCTGAAGGATGTTTACTTGACCGATAGAGATGCTAATTTGCGAAACATTTTAGTTGTTGTTATTGAATGTAGGCAAAGAGCAATGAATCTATGCAGAGCATAGAAGCCAAGTTTGATTTTTTACTATAGCCCAAAAATAACATCCATGAAATTTGGCACCATGTTTATCAGGATCAGACCCACAAAAAAGTTTCAAGAAGGTATACCCCAAAACACACAGGAAGTCCGTGATCATTTGAAGTCGCTAATTTAGGGTAATTTTGGGGATATTCTCCAAAGGTCCTTCTTCAAACAAACTTTTCTGAGAAATTTTGTTCAATTGTGACCAAATTTTTACTAGACAGATGAGCAGCACAAAACTGTGACGTTTTACTTTACATTTTAGTTTTCATCAATGGGTGTGAGCAGAGCATGGCAGAACACATCACAACGAAGCCCCGTAGTCAGTACATCTCAATTTCTGTTTTGTTTTTTTATTTATTTATCTTTTGTTTGATTTGTATTCATGTTCATCGCTTTTTTTAAAGAGCTCTATAAATACAATTCAGCTGAATTTCAAAACAGGACACTCGAAGAATCAGCCGCCCAATTTTTTCGAGGAGAGATGTGCCCTCAAGAGATTCACAGTTGCCCCCATGCTGGCAGAAATGTGTCATCAATTACCGCGTCTCCACAGCTAACAATTGCCAACATCAATGAACCTTAGCTCTGTTTTACTCTGACGTAGGCATGCTAGAGTCAAAACAACAGCCCACTACCACCCCCACCAGCCAGGGTGGCACGTGCCCAGTCGACTGCAGACACCTCGGGGTGTGTTTTACTGGAGGCCGGAGCCCTGTATTTAGCCCTCCATGAAAAGGCTGCCAGCGGAAAGAGTGAAATCCACCGCACGTTAATTTGCTTTTTTTTTTTTTTTTTTTTTTTTTTTT